GCCAGGTGTGGTGGTAGGCACCTGTAATCCCAGCTATTTGGGAGGCCGAGGCAGGGAGAACTGCTTGAAACTGGGAGGAAGAGGTTGCAGTGAGCCAAGATTGTGCCACTGCACTCCAGCCTGGGTAACAGAGTAAGACTGTCTCAAAAAAAAAAAAAAGGCCGGGTGTGGTGGCTCACGCCTGACGCCTGTAATCCCAGCACTTTGGGAGGCCGAGGCGGGTGGATCATGAGGTCAAGAGATCGAGACCATCCTGGTCAACATGGTGAAACCCCGTCTCTGCTAAAATTACAAAAAATTAGCTGGGCATGGTGGCACGTGCCTGTAATCCCAGCTACTCAGGAGGCTGAGGCAGGAGAATTGCCTGAACCCAGGAGGTGAAGGTTGTGGTGAGCCGAGATCGCGCCATTGCACTCCAGCCTGGGTAACAAGAGCGAAACTCTGTCTCAAAAAAAAAAAAAAAAAAAAGAAGGCTGGGTGTGGTGGTTCATGTCTGTAGCAATTCCAACACTGTCGGAAGCTGAGGCAGAAGGATCACTTGAGCCCGGCAGTTTAAGACCAGCCTGGGAAAGATGGTGAGACCTAATCTCTACAAAAAAAGAATTGCCAGTATGGTGACATGCACCTGTAGTCCCAGCTATGTGGGACGCTGAGGTGGGAAGATAGCTTGATCTTAGGAATTTGAAGTGGCAGTCACCTGTGATCACTGCAGACTGGGTGACAAAGTGAGAATCCCATCTCTTAAAAAAAAGGAAAAGAAAGAGAAAGATAAGGAAGGAAGGAAGGAAACAAAAGACCTGAACAGCCACCTCAGCAAAGAAGATACAAAGATGGCAAATAAGCATATAAAAAGATCCTCCACATCATATGTCATTAGGAAACTGCAAATTAAAACAATAGTGAGATGCAGCTGCATACTTATTAGAATGGCCAAAATCCAAAATATTGATAACACCAAATGCTGCCATGGGTAAGGAGCAATAGGAACTCTCACTCACTGCTGGTGGCAATGCGAAATGGCACAGCCATTTCGGAAGACAATTTGGTGGTTTCTTTCAAAACTAAACATACTCTTACTATTCAATCCAGTAGTTGTGTTCCTTGGTATTTACCCAAATGAGTTAAAAACTTTTATATCCACACAAAAACCTGCACATGACTGTTTATAGCAACTTTTTCATACTTTCCAAACCTTGGAAGCAAGCAATATGTTCTTCAGTAGGTACTTAGATAAACGAACTGTGGAATATCCAGACAATGGCATATTAGTCAGCTTTAAAAAGAAATAAGCTACCAAGCCATGAAAAGACACGAAGAAAACTTATATGTGTATTACTGAGAGAAGCCAATCTGAAAGGCTATGTACCATGTAACTCCAATTATATAACATTATGAAAAAGACAAAACAATGGAAAGAGGAAAGAGATTCGAGACTGCCAGGGGCAAGTGGGAAGGGAAGGATGAATAGGTAGAGTACAGATGATTTTTAGAGCAGTGAAGGTATTGTATATGATACTTTAACAGTGGATATGCGTCATTATGCATTTGTCAAAACCCATAGAATGTACAACACTAACAATGAAACCTAATGTAAACGACAGACATTGGGTAATAATGACGTGTCAATGTAGGTTCTGTTGTAACAAATGTACCATTCTGGTGGGAGATGTTGATAATGGGAAGCCTGTGCACATCTGGAGGCAGGTAGAACATGGGAGCACTGTGTTTCCACTAAGCTTTACCATGAACCTAAAACTACTCTAAAAAATGAAGTCAGGGCCAGGCGCGGTGGCCCACGCCTGTAATCCCCGCACTTTGGGAGGCTGAGGTGAGTGGATCACAAGGTCAAGAGAACGAGACCACCCTGGTCAACATGGTGAAACCCCGTCTCTACTAAAAATACAAAAAATTAGCTGGGCATGGTGGCACGTGCCTGTAATCCCAGCTACTCAGGAGTCTGAGGCAGGAGAATTGCCTGAACCCAGGAGGCGGAGGTTGCGGTGAGCCGAGATCGCACCATTGCAAAAACAATATAAAAACCCTATTATATCGACAAAAAATAAAGTTGGATACTATCCAAGGTTAGTAAATGTGTGGAAAAACACGCACATAGAGGTGCTGGAGGTACAAATTGGTATAAAGTTTTTAGATAGATACCCTGAAGTCTACACAGATATATGTTTAAAGATTATCACTGCAGCACTATTTGTGTGAGCAAAAAGCAAGAAACAAACTAGATGTCCACTGACAGGAAACTGGCACTCTGACATTATGACAATATTGGGTATTGAGGTTCAATACCAATTTTGACTTTGGTATTCAATTTCTGATTTTTTTTTTTTTTTTTTTGAGACAGTCTTGCTCAGTCGCCCAGGCTGGAGTACAGTGGTGCAATCTTGGTTTACTGCCACCTCCACCTTCTGGTTCAAGAGATTCTTGTGCCTCAGCCTCCCTTGTAGCTGGCATTACAGAAATATGCCACCATACCCAGCTAATTTTTGTGTTTTTAATAGAGACAGGGTATCACCATGTTGGCCAGGCTGGTCTCAAACTCCTGGCCTCAAGTGATCCAACCACATCCCAAAAGTGCTGGGATTAGAGGCGTGAGCCACTGTGCCCAGCCAATTTCTGATTTTTGACCTATGTTATCCCTCTGGAAGACCATCTAGATAAATGCCCACTTCAGAATCTTTTTTGACATTCTTAAACTTGCATGTTATTGTGAAACTGTAAGTACCACATCATACCTAGGCAGCCTGACAATGTCAGGAAACCAACAAGTTCTGTCATTCAGAATTATTGTGACTATCTATGACAATCTATGGAAGCACGCTACAAAAAAGTCAAACTGGAAATCTCACATTTTGTTTTGAAGTTCTATCCTTTCCCTCCCCATCCTCCTTCTCCCAGGCCCCTAGGGCATGTTCTTCCTTGGTGTCTCCCAACTCTCTCCTCTTCCCCTGCACCCTCTGTCTATCTAATATTCTTGTGTTGTCTGATTTCTTGCCAAGAAAGTATGCCCCAGCAAGAATTACTCTACAGGTGCCAGTGTTTCCAAACGACTTCTCCACACTTCCATTCAAACCCCTTCCTCTTCATCTTAGAGTCTAGACCATTTCTATTGGCACCATCAGCAACACCTGGAGGTCTGTTAAGAAGGCAGAATCTCAGGCCCCACCCCAAGTAACTGAAGCTGAGTCAGATTTCCAGGTGATTCACATGCTCATCAAAGTTGAAGCAGCTGCCATCCTAGACAGTTCTCAGTTAGATGTTGACCTGATTATTTGGTTGAAGCAATTCACCACAAAAGCAATAATTTTCAACCCTGGTTGAATTTAGAATCCCCTGATGCTCTTTAAAAGATGCTGATGCCTGGGCCCATCCCTAGACTAATTAAATCGGAATTTGAATGAGGTGAGGTTTATTCATCTGTATTTTTTAAAATACCACAAGTAAGCTCAGAGTTCAACAGAAGGTTTCCAAGATGCCGCCCAAAGGAAAAAGTGGTTCTGGAAAAGTGGGGAAATGGGGAGCAGCCTCTGGGAGTGACAGTGCTGACAAGAAGGTTCAAGGTCCCAAAGGTGGTGGCAATGCAGTAAAGGTCAGACACATTCTGTGAAAAACATGGCAAAATCATGGAAGTCCGGGATGAGATTCAATGAAGTGGCCGCACAATATACTGAAGATAAAGCCAGGCGAAGGGGAGACTTGGGCTGGATGACCAGAGGGTCCACGGTGGGAACATTTCAAGAAGCAGCATTTGCCTTGCCTGTAAGTGGGATGGATAAGCCTGTGTTTACAGACCCATCAGTTAAGACAAAATTTGGATATCACATTATTATGGTTGAAGGAAGAAAATAAAATCATATGAAAGACTGAAAAAAAAATACCACGGGTAAGTGTAATGTAAAGTAAGGGTTCAAAGCCACTGCTTTGAAGATATTAAACATTTTAAGAGGATATTTAGAAACATAAGCAAAACTGCTTTAAGTTAAAAGAAGAAACTGTAAAATCCTATAATGGTTTCCCATAATATGCAGGAGAAATTTCAAATTTCTCACATTAACACCCAAGGCCTTTTCTGATTCTGAATCCTGTTCACCTCTGTAGCCCATCTCCCACCCCCTGACACCCCACACCCTCGGGATGTCACAAACAGAACTTGCATTCTCTCAAACAAATCCTGCTTTGTTTGTTTTTGACACGGGTTCTTACTCTGTCACCTAGGCTAGAGTCTAGTAGTACAATCATAGCTTACTGCAGCCTCAAATTCCTGGGCTCAAGCAATCCTCCAGCCTGAGACTCCCAAGTAGCTGTGACCACAGGTGCACACCACATCAGCAGATCCTGCTCTTTCATACCCTCCTGATTTGGGCCATATTCTCTCTTTTTTTTTTTAATAATCTTTCTCCATTTATTTGACTTATCAAAGACTTGACTCAAGCCTCTGCCTCTGCAAGGCCTTCCTTGTTCCCCTATCTTTGGGAGGAAGAGATATATATGTTTTCAGAATTAAATTTTAGGCTGGGCACAGTGGCTCATGCCTATATTCCCAGCACTTTGGAACGCCAAGGCCAGTGGATCACCTGAGGCCAGGAGTTCAAGACCAGCCTGGCCAATATAGTGAAATGCCATCTCCTAAAAATACAAAAAGTAACCAGGTGTGGTGGTATGCACCTGTAGTTCTAGCTATTCAGGAGACTGAGGCAGGAGAATCACCTGAACCTGGGAGGCAGAGGTTACAGTGAGCCGAGATTATGCCACTGCACTCCAGCCTGGGTGACAAAGCAAGACTCCATCTAGAAAAACAGAACAAAACAAAACAAAATTAAATTTTAAGGTTTTCTTTTGCTTAAGCCTTCTTGCTATTGGCAATGTTAGTCACAACTCAAACCCAGGCTCTCAAGCAAGCTTAGGCTTTTGTCTCCATAAGCTGCTCTGTCTAATAACCACAATGAGAAAATGTTAAACATTAGAATGTACTCATTCAGAGACGGTCCTTGAATGTTTAAACTTCATTTATTTAAACTCCAGCAAATGCAAAGGCCAGTGCCCCTGGGCATAAGAAATAATCAATTTTGCCTTCTACAAAATTGTGTTTTCCTAACATTAGGAAAAGAAAGCCTCTCTTTTACTGGAAAAGAACTTTTGGTACATCATGTAATTCTTACTCATTTGAAATGTAATCTAAAACAGGGATTGCTTTTTCCCCACTTTTAATAGATTTTTAGAAATGCCATGAAATGAACATTTGTTTTTCCATTTATTTCTCTATATTAAGAATGTCCATCCTAGACTAGAAGGTGAAGAAAATTCTGGATTTACTTTTCATGTTTCAGTAACTCACTTTAGAATATGTAAACTTTGGGGTAAATTAAAATGAAAAGTTTAAAGGCAGCTGCAAAATGTCCAAACCTTCTCTTGCATGATTAGTATATCAACTTGTAAAAACGGAACTTAACCCGCCCCAACTGATAAGGCAACTGGACTTGGTAACCCACCTTGGTCAACCTCCAGACTCCAGACCCTAAGACCCACTGCCCGCTTGCAAAAAACCGCTCTAAACAGTAACATCTGTAACTTTCCACTTGCCTACCCCAAACCTATAAAACCAACTCCTATCCCACTCCTATCCTTACGCTGACTCCCTTTTCGGACTCAGCCCACACCTGGGTGAATAAACAGCCATGTTGTTCACACAAAGCCTGTTTGAGGGGTCTCTTCATTCAGACTGGGCATGTTTTAACAGGAAGGGGCTCCAAAGCAGAAAGAGGGAACCCTCCACGTCAGGTAATATCCAGTTACATGCAATAGCTGGAGAAGTCAGTGTCTGATTTGCATAGGGCTCAGGGGATTGGTTTGACCAGGCATGTCATTCATGTAACCCTAGATATAGCTGGCCCTCCCACCCTAGCTTTTAATATGCAAATATAGGGCGCCATGATGTTCTACACAGATAAGGACAGGGCAGCTATGCTGCCCGGTGGATCCAGTTTCTAACGGCTTACTTGCATATTACAGATTGCCGGCGTGACCATGTTGGGTGGACCCAGTTCCTAATAACTGTATTTGCATATCAAAGGTTGCCAGCCTGACTTTAAGAGCTGCGGCTTTACAAGAAATTTTCTGGAGGTGCTTTAAAAAATGAAAACTTCCCAGGGACCACTTTTCCTCTCTATCTGCCTAAAATAATCTCTTAATAACTCCTACAACATAACCTTTTGAAAGACATGAGTAAATACCAATGGTCTGCATTTCTTCTCTTAAATATCCTGCTCTCTAAATTCTTCCTGTCCTATCTGCTCAGAACTGGTTCAAGAAAGACAAAAAATATTATTCTATTTAAGGGGGGGAAAAATGTCAGGACTTAGCACTAGAAAGTCCACAATTGGCAGATTATTTCATTTGTTCCCTAAACATAGATTTATTGAGCAACTTCTACTTGTCAGATTGAAAGATAGATTCTTCTGGGCTGGGCGTGGTGGCTCACGCCTGTAATCTCAGCACTCTGGGGGGCCGAGAAAGGTGGATCACTTGTGCTTAGGAGTTGGAGACTGGCCTGGACATCATGGTGAAACCCGGTCTCTACTAAAATCACAAAAGTTAGCTGGGCATGGTGATGCACCTGTGATCCCAGGTACTCAGGAGGCTGAGTCATGAGAATCGCTTGAACCCAGGAGGTGGAGGTTGCAGTGAGCCGAGATCGCACCACTGTCCTCCAGCCTGGGCAACAGAGTCAGACCTTATCTCAAAAAAAAAAAAAAAAAAAAAAAAAAATCCTGGCGAGGTAGCTCACATCTGTAATCTCAGCACTTTGAGAGGCCGAGTCAAGGGCAGATCACGAGGTCAGGAGGTCAAGAGCATCCTGGCCAACATGGTGAAACACCAACTCTACTAAAAATACAAAAATTAGCTGGGTGTGGTGGTGGGCACCCATAATCCCAGCTACTTGGGAGGCTGAGGCACAAGAATCGCTTGAACCCAGGAGGTGGAGGTTGCAGTGAGCCGAGATCACGCCACTGCACCTTAAACATGTCCAATACCACCTTAAACAGAGCCGTTGACTGCCCACACGCCCTCACACCAAAGTGACTCCTCCCTCAGTCCTTCCCTTTTAGTAAACTGCATCGTTTGCTTGATCAAAACTCTCAGACTTATAGATTGTGTTTAGCTGCACATAATAGAAGCCAAATAACCAGAGAGCTGTCATTTTTTTTTTTTTTTGGCAAAAGAGTGAGACTCCATTTCAAAAAAAAAAAAAAGAAAGAAACAGAGATTAGGCTCTTCTGTAACCAAAATTCAACTCCCGTCAGTGTCACCAATGTCACAGATGATCTCACCGTTCCAAATCTAGTGGTCGAGTCTTTGTTTTCATGATACTCCACCTCTCAATGGATTTCTCTCTTCTCCACATGCTATCTTCTCTAGGCTTCTGAAGCGCTACACTCTCCTGCTTTTCCCTGGCCATGCCTCTTTTGTATCATTTATGGGCTCTTCCTTTTCCTTATAGCAAACCATCAGATGTTTCTTCTTCTCTATCCACATACTCATCTGGAGTGACCTCCTCTAATCCTGTGGCTTAAGACCATGTAGATATGAATGACTCCCAATCTATCTCCAGTCCCCCATTTACCCTGAGGTCCGGACCAGATCCTATATCCAGCTTCCCATTTGAAACCCCACCAGGATGTCCAATACCACCTTACACAGAGCTGTTGATCTGCCCACACGCCCTCACACCAAAGTGACTCCTCCCTCAGTCCTTCCCTTTTAGTAAAGTGCATCATTTGCTTGATCAAAACTCTCAACCTTATAGATTGTGTTTGTAATTGAAGCCAGATAACCAGAGAGCTGTCATTTTTTTTTTTTTTTTTCACATAATGAGAGAACCAGAAGCAGGCAAGTAAGGCTCTGCAGTGGCTCCTCAATGACAACAACGCCCAGGCTCCTTTTATCTTTTTTCTCCACTGTCCTCATGGTTGCAAGATGGCAGTTCCACCTCCAGCCTCACATCCACCTCCAACAACAAAAAAAAGAAGGAAGGAATCAACAAGGTGCGAGACAAAGAGCTATGGCTCCTTGTCTACAACAGCAAAACATTCCCAGAAATCCCTAGCAGCCTTCTGCTTGTCTCACATTGTCCAGAACTGTGTTACAAGCCCCACACCAGCTGTTAGAGAGGCTAGGAAATATGGCTTTTTAATCAGGCACATTGCCACCCTGCACAAACCAGGGTTCTGATACATGGAAGAAAGGATGAAGAGATATCAGATGGGCAAACAGCAGCAGCTGCTTTATCATCCTGGACTTCTCTCTTTTCCTCACACTTAACTAACAATCCATCAGCAAGTCCTATCAGTCCCAGCTCCAAAATACTTAACCAATTCGACTGCTTCTCTTCATCTCCACTGCTGAATTGCTGGCCAGATACACCATCATCTCTTACCCAGACCACAGCAACAGCCTCCTCGCTGGCTGCCCGCCATGACTGCTGCCTCTACAGTCCTTTCTTTACACAGTAGCTAGGATAATCATTTACACGTGTAAATATAATCATGGCACTCCCTTTCTTAAAATTCTCCAGAGGAGCTTTCATGTTTGGGTTCCCCCAGAAGGAGACCCTGAGATGAGGGTTCTTGTGGAAGTCATTTATTTGAGAGATGCACAAAACACAGGGAAGGACTGAGGGAGGAGTCACTTCGGTGTGAGGCCCACCTCAGCCTCCCAAAGTGCTGGGATTACAGGGGTGAGCCACCACGCCCGTCCATAACCTCTTAATATAGGCAAATTTCAAGTAGGGCATATGAGATTAGAATATTTATGTAAAGTCAGTATTTTAAGGAACACATAATTCAATAGTAGCAATTAATTACTAATATATGCACTGTATATTATAGCTACAAATGACATTACTGGGTCTATAGATCTAAAGGGTATAAATGAACATTAAGCATATAACTTCAGATATATTTGTGCCTTTAGATGAGCTTATTACTTATCTTTAGTTTCCTTTCTTCTTCAATTGTTCTACAAAGTAATCATTACAAGCAACTGTCAGAGCTGCCACCATGACCACGAATTCATTAAAATCCACTTTGTTGTCCTTATTGGCGTCCAGGTCCTGCATTATCTTATCAACCAACTGGGGATCCTTTTGGCACTAAAACGAGAAAGGAAATTTCTAACTCCCAGGCTCTGAGGTTCATGATGATAAGTGAAATTGCATCTTCGTTTTATTTACATTAAATTCCTAATTTCCATGTATAGCATCTAAAGACACTTCTAAGAGCCTATTGACAGGTAGGTGTAAACCAGCCACAAACTCTAAATGAGTCTAGTTCCCTGCCCCAGGTCTGTATAATCCTGGCTCCGACCTAGAAACCAAGAAAAGCAAACAGCAGCTGATCCAAGTGAGTGACTGATGCTAAAAACACTTACAGGACATCACAGGTTGAGAGCCACATAGGAGGGTATGAACCTAAAGGCTGTCCTGGAATCTGCACATCTGCCCTCAACTGAATGCAGCAGCAAAGGCCTGACTCACCGAGAGGAATTCCATGAGCTCTTGTTGCAGGAGCAGTTTCAGTTCCCCTTTGCTGAGCTTGAATCTGTCCCCTTCCTTAGAAGAATAGAGATGGAAGGTTCTAATCATGGTGTCCATGGCCGTCTCGAGCTGGGTGGGCATGTCGGCAGCAGAACCGAGCACTCCAGAAGCAGGCCACCAAACTCAGGGAGAAGACACTTGTTCAAAACAAACAGATGAGGAAACACCAATACTTTCATTAAAATAGAATATTACAATCCCCCGAGTCAGCCCGCTGCACAAGTGATGGTTGTCAAAAACATAATAGTCTTTCATTAAGGAGTGTCCCACCCATGCTAGGGCAAGCTGCAAATAAATGCTTTGCAGGTGAATTGTTTCTCCTCTCTAATCCCTATGCCCCCAATAGGTAGCAGCTTCAGCATATTTTGTAAGACAAGCAGATAACAGGTACAGACTCACACTAAAATACAGAATTTGGCTGGGCACAGTGGCTCACGCCTGTAATCTCAGCACTTTGGGAGGCCGAGGTGGGCGGATCCCCTGAGGTCAGGAGTTCAAAACCAGCCTGACTAACATGGAGAAACCAGTCTCTACCAAAAATACAAAATTAGCCGGTCGTGGTGGCACATGCCTGTAATCCAAGCTACTCAGGAGGCTGAGTCAGGAGAATCGCTTGAACCTGGGAGGTGGAGGTTGCCATGAGTTGAGATCGCTCCATGGCACTCCAGCCTGGGCAACAAGAGCAAGACTCCATCTCAAACAACAACAAATATATATATATACACACACACATATATATATATATACACACACACACACATATAAAGAAAGAGAGAGAGAATTTAAAAATAAATAAAAATAAGAAGGAAAATATCTAACTTCATACCTGTTCAACAGATATACAGCTCTGTCAATGGTTGTTTACCAATAAACTATAAGCATTTATACCTGGAGGAGGGGAGGAAGTCCTCCCCAGCACACCTGTTTCCAAGATGAAACTTGCCAGTGACAAGAGATTCAAATGAAGGTGCCTCTGCTCTATATTTAATCACCAGAATGAACAGGTGTGAGCTGCTGCCCCAAGGGTCATTGAAAAAGGCTGGTACTCACTGGATGAATTAGATGAGAGGGAAAAAGAAGGCAAGAGGAAGACTTCCCTTATCTCTCATTAGGGGAGTGTGGTAGAAATGCAGTTAGTTGCTAGGAAGTTGATGACAGGGAAGAACTCCAAAAATAGAGGAGCAAAAAAGAAACACTGTTTCCAACCTGGAGACACCTCAAGAAAGCCAATAGCAAGGACATGGGAGTAAACTCACAGTAGATTAAATTAACCCAAAGGGCATTGCAAAAAAAAATAAAAAAGAGGAAGTACTCCATGCACTGATGTAGAAAGGTAAAAAGCAGTGCTTCCCACTATGAAAAAGAAATAATACATGTGTGTGCCCTTGCAGTTACCCAAGGAGTCACTGAAAGGAAACAAAGTATGATACTTGTTGGGAGCTCCCAAAATTCTGGAATTAAGGGGAAAGGGCAGAACAGACTGGTTGGGAGTTAAGACTTCCCAGTGTATACCATTTTAACTGGTTTTAATGTTTTCGGTTATAGGAATGTTATTACCTAATTTTAAAAAATTGAAATAAACCCCAGAGCAGCTGTGCATGCAGGAATCCACCACAGATTTCCAAGTGAGAGAGACTTAATAAAGAAAGAGACCATGTAAAAACCAAAGCCAGATATTGGCCATTGTGCTTTTAAATGCTACCTGTTCTCTGAGGACTGAAACTTAATTATATGGAAGGCAAGCCAGCATCTCCTTTTTATTTCCCTTCAACAAACCAGTCACTACGTAACCTCGACCATCCCATCTGCCCCTGGCCTTGCTGCCGGAGCACTCCACTGCAATCTCCCTGCAAGGCCCCCAGGAGGTGTTCACTGTATGCCTAACATGCAGTTTTCAAACAGATTTTAGGCTGGGCAGAGTGGCTCAAGCCTGTAATCCTAGCACTTTGGGATGCCGAGGCAAGCGGATGGTGAAACCCTGTTTCTACTAAAAATACAAAAATTAACTTGATGGAGGTGTGTGCCTGTAGTCCCAGCTACTCAGGAGGCTGAAGCAGGAGAATCGCTTGAACCCGGGAGGTTGCAATGGGCTGAGATCACACCACTGCACTCCATCCTGGGTGACAGAGTGAGACTCCGTCTAAAAAAAAGAAAATTAAACTAGTTTTTGTTGTCAAAGTAATAATGTATATGGGAAAGCAATCTTTTGAATACTTGAGAGTATGAAATAGTAAAATTCTCTCTCACCATTCTTACCCTAGTAGTTACCCCTTTGTTAATTTTTTCTGCGTGGAGGCAGTATCATGGTGTCTAAAAGCATGAACAGACTGGCTTTAACTCTCACCTCTGCCATAACTAGTGGTGTGATCCTGTGCTGGTCAGTTAGCACCCTATGCCGCAGTGTCCCCATCAGTCTAAATGGGGATAACCATAGCACCTACTCAGAATGCAAAAAACAAACTCTATACAATATTTATTTTCTTTATTTATTTATTCTTATTATTACTGAGGCAGGATCTGACTCTGGTTGCCCAGGCTGGAGTGCAGTGGCACCATCACAGCTCACTGCAGCCTCCATCTCCTGGGCTCAGATGATTCTTCCATCTCAGCCTCCCAAGTAGCTGGGACTACAGGTTCATGCCACCATGCCCGGCTAACTTTTATTTTTATTTTATTTTTACATGTAGTAGAGATGGGGTTTTGCCATGTTGCCCAGGCTGGTCTTGAACTCCTGAGCTCAAGCAATCTACCCACCTTGGCCTCCCAAAATGCTGGGATGACAGGCATGAGCCACCACACACCCAGACTTATTTTCTTTTTAAGACTGAGTCTTGCTCTGTCATCCATGCTGGAATGCAGTGGCACAATCATGGCTCACTGCACCTCAACCTCCTGGGCTCAAGCGATCCTCCTGCTTCAGCCTCTTGAGTATCTGGGACAGCAGGCATGTTTTACCGTGCCTGACTAATTTTTTTTTTTTTTTTTTGGTAGATATGGGGTCTCCCTATGTTTCCCAGGCTGGTCTTAAACTGCTGACCTCAAGTGATCCTTCTGCCTGGCCTCCCAAAGTGCTAGGAGTATAGGCTTTAGCCATCTCACATTGCCTCTGTGAAATAGTTAAACAGGTTTCTTTTGAGCTAGTATGAGTGACCATGGCCTAGGGAACTGTCTCAAGAGGTCCTGAGAAAGTGTGCCCAAGGTGGCAGGTTACAGTTCAGTTTATTATTATTTATTTATTTTTGAGATGGAGTCTCACTGTGTCACCCAGACTGGAGTGCAGTGGTGTAATAATGGCTCACTGCAGCCTCCAACTTCCAGTCTCAAGCAACCCTCCCACCTCAGCCTCCTGAATAGCTGAGACCGCAGGGACACACCACCATTCCTGGTTAATTTAAAAAAAATTTTTTTTAGAGATGAGGTCTCACTATGCTCCCCGGGCTGGTCTGAAACTTTTGGGGTCAAAGTGATCCTCCTCCTTTGGCCTCCCAAAGTGCTGAGAGTATGGGCATATGGGCATGAGCTACTGTACCTGGCCAAAATTTGATTTTATACATTAAGTTGCAGGTGAAGTCATAAATCAATACATGAAAGGTATACATTGGTTTGACTCAAAAGGCAGGGGGTGGGGTTTATAGATCATAAGTGGATTCAAAGATTTTCTGATTGGCAATTTGTTGAAAGTGTGAAGCATTGTCTAAAGACTTGAAGTCAGAAGAAAGAAATTCTTGGGTTAAGATAAAGGGGGTTGTGGAAGCCAAGGTTCTTGTTAGATAGATGAAACCGCCAGGTAGCAGCCTTCTGAGAGAATAAATGATAAATGTTTCTTTTTGGACCTTAAAAATTGTCAAATTCTTAATTAATCTCTCCTAGATCTGGGAAAGGCCTAGCTACGTTAATGGAGATTCTCTATAGATGCAAAATTTCCCCCATAAAAGACGGCTTTACAAGACCATTTCAAAATATGTCAGAGAAATCTATTTTGGGGTAAAACATTTTTATTTCCTTCCTGGTCTGCTATCTGTCATGTGATGCTATGAGAGTGAGGTTGGAATTTGGTATCTTACTGTCATGAAGAGTCTGTTTCATCAGTCTTATGATCTCCATTTTAATGTTGATGCTGGTCAGTTGTGCCTAAACTCCAAAAGGAAAGAGGTATCATGAGGCCTGTCTGACCTCCCTTCCCATCAAGGCCTGGAATTCAGTTGTTCAGGTTTCTCCAGGGTCCCCTGGGCCAAGAGAGGTTCTGTTGAAGAGCTTAGGATTTTATTTTACTTATTTTATTTTTTGTAGAAATGGGGTCTTGCTATGTTGCCCTTGCTGGTCACAAACTTCTGGCCTCAAGCAATCCTTCCACCTCAGCCTCCCAAAGTGTTGGGATTATAGATGTGATTCAGTGCACCCGGCCTCCTCCTCATTTTTTAATGCACTTTCCCCTCTTCAGCTCTTAAATGTTGTTCCCCCTGTGGTCTCAGCTACTCCTATAATTTCAGTCTCTCTCGAGATTATATTTCTTGATCCAGATCTCTCTGCTAAGCTCCAGAACCATCTCTCCAACAGGCTGCCGGACTGCATTTCTACCTGAATGCCCCACAAGCTTTTCAAACTCAATTTGGACTGTCCACTAAAGAAAGAAAATATCAAGCTTTTAGAAAGTTAAAACTACTTGTACTCAGAAATCTTACTGAGGACTCTAGACCAAGGTCTACAGCGTGGGAGCAGCCCTTCAGAGGGGTTCTGTGCGACTGCTCCAGGAAGGTCTTTAGACAGTGCTTAACACTTTCAACAAATTGCCAATCAGAACATCTTTGAATCTACTTATGATGAGCTCCAGCACAGTAGCTCAGCCCATGGCTTCTATACAGGCCTTAGGGATTCACTACATACAAAGTCACAAACTTGCAGAAGTTACATTAAAGCAGAATCACATCAAGGTTTGTGTGTAAGACTACATCTGGTTATAGATTACAGAGGCATCATCCCTAACCCTGTCAGACGTTATGTTATGTATAGGAAAAGGCACGAACTCGGCTTATTTATCTATTAAGGAAGGTGGTGACTCAGCCAAGACACGGGACTGTGTTCCTTATCCTGTTTTGTCTTCAAACCATTTTTTCTGCAGAGTCAGGGGCTTGTGAAA